TATGTAACATTTCAGTACTTTTTTTTTCTAACGAAATTTTCCTGTTTCTTAATACTTTAATTAGTTTTCGGGAGGCATCTTTCGTTATCACAATGCGCCTTCGAATTTCAGTGTCATACCCTCTGTCCTCTGTTACAACGCTTCCCAGTAATTTAAACTGATGTACTTGTTTGATTTTGACATCGCCGATTTCTATTTTGCATATTCGGTTGTTCTTAATGCTGATCATCATACATTCTGTTTTCTGGCAATTGATATTTTGGTATTTCTTCTCATCTGACTTCAGTACCTTCTGTAGAAGTTCTTTTATTTCCCTGTCTGTGTCTGCTATCAACGTTGTATCATATGCATATCTTATGTTGTTAGAATTTTGACCAACAGTAATGAATCCTGATCTTTCTTCTTATGTGTCGTGTCCCTTCAGGGCGCAGGCGATCATGGCTCTCCATTTCCCCCTATCCTTTGTAGTTCTCAATACGTATTGTTCTTTTGATACTTCTCCCCAAACCTGTTCTGTCACTCAATTTTTAAGCCCGCTAGGTATGTCACGCTAGTTATGTTGAATTATCTTGTCTCGTATTTCGTTTATTCGTCCTGTGAGTATCAGATTCTATAAACACTTCTTTCTTATTACATGTCCCAGAAATTTCAGCTACCTCTTCCGGGTGTTAATTATAAGCTTCCTCCTTGTTTGCATCGTTTTCAAAACCTCATCGTTGCTCACATGCTCGATCCATGTTATCCTCCCTCTGTAGAACTATAATTCCGTTGACTCGAGTCTCTTCTTTATATCATACATATCACGTAGCAGTTCAGTGGACTTTTCTTAGTTACCAACGAAATCCTCCTGTCTAAAAATACTCTGCCTAGCTTTTGGAATGCGTCTTTGGCCATCCCAATATGCCTTCGGATCTCAGCGTCGAACTTACCGTCCTCTGTCAGAACACTTCACAGAGAATTTTCTCTCGGAATCGCCTCCATCTATATAGCCATCTATAAAAGGCAGGATGTGTGTGTGTGCCTGTGTGTGTAACGAATGCACGGCCGCAATTTTCGACGTATTTGAACCAAAATTTACATGCACATGCTCAAAGTTAGCGGGAACGCCAAGACCGACATTGCATTTCCCAACTTTTTTCATGCTTCTACGGCGGCTTTCATGTAGTTTGCGGCCATTTTCTACTGGACTGGCAACAGTGAGAGCCTATAGCTGGCTGCCACGAATAGGCAGGAAGATTCTATTGGCCAGCGTGAGAGCCAACAGCAGACTGCTAGCATGCAAAAAAAAAATTGATAGCTGCATTCGTCACAAGTGGGAAAAATTTAAATCTGCATGGCACGTTACTCCAATTGCCTCATTCGCTTGCTTAAACTCAATGTTGATTCTGATTCCGCAGAACTGGGTTGGGTGTGAAAAAGTATTTGTTGTTAACATTCTTTTTTCATTCGGTTTTTCCAGTTACGAGTCCTTTTTTAAAAGTTGATCGTTTTGTGTTCATTTTGTTTAGTTCTTTTTTCGTAACAGATTTAATGTTTAGTATAGAGCTTAGAAAAAATTCGCAGTGTGAGATAGGCAAGAAGTAAGGCATGTAGCAACATCAGCACGGCAAAGGGCACTCCTTTAAAGGAAAGGAAGGGCAAAAATATTTTAAGTCAAGTGATAGCGATTGCTGTATGAGTTATACGATTTTTTAATCAAGCACGGGCAACGCCGGGCCATGCTGCTAGTGTTGAATAAGTCTAGTGAGAAAGACACACTTTTATCTTATATCCTTTTCTATTTTTTGTATATTTACTGAATTCATTTTCTATCGCTATGCAGGCAGTTTTCCAGTTAGTATAAGTTCTAGATTATTCTTAAATTATATCAGGGATAACTAGCTTTTCTAAGAGTCCTTTATGATGCAATTTAGGTAATATAAGAATGTCATTATATGTCACATAATGTTAATGTAATGTTCCTGTAATAATTTTGTTATTAATAAAAATAACTATATTGAGGATAAAATTTAATTTTTAATATGTGTTTCTCGTTTGTTTTTTTGTTTTTTTTCTTTTCAAAAGCTGTTTATTTTAAGTATGTTATATACCTGCTTGGTTTTACTATCTCCAATTTGCAGCTTGATTTGTTCCTTTGCTGACACATATGCATTCCATCTTCTTGCATTTGATGTTTAATCCTTTCTTCTCGTTTTCCTTCACTATCTTCTGTCGGAATTCTTGTAGCTTCCTTTCTTTGTCTGCCATCAGCACTGCGTCATATGCATATCGTATGTTGTTACGACTGTGACCGCCAATATTACTCATCTTTAAAAGAAAGCTTTTGATCGCATCTGCATATAAATGTATGAAATTACGAGTAGGAAGTACAATGATTCCTTTTCCTATAAATGTGCAGTAATTGATCGCCCAATTTTCTTAACGTAATTCACCCCCCTCCCCCAGTCAGCCTATCATCCTTTGGCGGTTTCCGCTGACAACTGGCTTTGAAGATGCTTGGACAAATGTCAGATTTTTGGTGGGAGATATTGCTGACTTGAGAATAAAGAGTCGCTAAAAAAGCATTTCTTTATAGCTCCCCTATGCCATTCTGTTTACCGATGTAGCATCCCTGGAGGGCACAAGACTTAGCATCAAAACGATTCAAGGAAACCATCTGAGTGAAAGTCGATATGAATTAGATAGAAGCGACGGACGAAATCCAATTAATGTCATATTTATTTTGCATACGTCACACATATGCGTTTATAATTAGAGATGGAGAAGACGTAGAGTGTCGAAAATTAATTTATGGGATTATACCAAATAAGGAGTTATGGTAAAGAGCCTGACCTCGGGTGTATATATATATATATATATATATATATATATATATATATATAGTCATTCACTGACAGAGTGTTTCGCTATATCACAGCTCATTAGTGTGGCTAGACGTTCAATCCCTTCAAGCCGAAACCGAAACCTGACCATTGTGGCGTCAGTCGGATATTTTAATTGGCGCATTGCAGAGAGAAAGGCGAGTTTTTGCGTATTTATTTTTTCATAAACACATATACCTATATATATATATATATATATATATATATATATATATATATATAATATATATATATATATAATATAAATACAATGTATACAATATAAATATATATAATATATATATATATATATATCATATAATATAATATATATATATAATATATCTATAACATATAATATTCATATATAAGATATATATACACACATGATTACGGCTTTTTAATGTAGGAAATCAAACTCGTATAACTTGAAAGAATGGCCCGATACAATCTTTCCTCGACATATTCCTGTACTATTAGTAACTATGAATGTTTGGCTTTTGTGATGAATTAGATAATTGCTTACTTGTCATCGTATCAAAAACTGGGCCTCCTATCCAGAAGAATAAACAAGAATCGCAAAGACTCATTTTCAAATCGGATAAGGTCTCTCTACTTAAACGTTTGGCGCTATCAATTCCTTCTATACCTATTAGTAAATTTGTTAACCATTTTCAAATGCAAATGTAAAACAGGTAAACAATCATGAAGTTGGAAATAGCAAATCTCTCTCTATATATAGTTTATTCATTTAATGCCTTTTTATGTCAAACCTACTATTGAGATCCTTAGGTTATGTCCTGGGTATGACGATAAACTACACCCAGCAGCAAGGCCTCTGATCAGGCGGTTTTGGTTGTTGTTCTTCCTAGGCTCACTCTGTCTCGGGGTTGTAGCACCTGTTAGTGTCCCAGCTAGAGGCAAATAGTACAAATCATGATGGAGGGAGCCTTTGGCGATTAATGCTCAATCTTGGCAAATATCCGGCATCCTCTGCGATTCTATGGATGCAGTATCCTTTATATGTCTCCATATTTACTTGTCATTCCTTCGCAGATTATTCAGTCGTGTCAACTTCAAACATTTTTAAAATTTTAACCCATGAAATGCTTACGGCCTGATCCATTCAACACAGCAAAGAATCCATCGATTGAAAACGGTATCTTTCATGATAGAATAAGCAATAGCTGAAATCTAGTGAAAGAACAATAGAAAGAAGAAAATAATGTGATGTTACAAATTTATATGACTAAAAGACTTTAGTAACATCCTCGTCACCTTGAACGGACAGAATGTCAAATTTCGATTAATTTCCGCTGACCATGGAATGTTAGTATCTTAGACATTGCATGTCTCCAGCCTGCTTGCTGGGCGAACAAGACATTGCAATGGTTCCTATCCCGTCACGCCTTTTGAATACAGTGTTTTCCTTCTCTTAGACTGGCTGCCATCATAAGCAAGAGATCCCTGTTTACTCTGCTTTTTAACTTATTTATATCACCTGTTAATCTATCGATTTTCTCTAAGTCTTGCTAAAAATGGTCGGTTCCCTGTAGTGCTCCAGTAAGTACCTGACTCCTCCGGCTATCCTCTACCTTTACAAGAGCCAGACCGAAATTGAAATACTGTTGTCACATATGGATAGTGACTACCCATTCTTCCCTTTCAGATCTCAACAGAGTTCAAAAGCGTCTCTGTGTCCTTGTAGTGACGAGATATGTTCCACCTTACACAGACTTTCTCACAAACGAAACGCTATTTCCATGGAAAGTACTCAGACGAACTACACTCCTTACTTCCACCAGATCTAACCTTCACGGCTAAGACCGTCCATACAACGCACATTGAGCGAATCACTCTCATTCCGCTACATTGGGGAAATGACTCTCATGAAGATGCTTCCAGTATCGGTACAGTCTTAAGATTTTAAAACCGAGGCTTAAACGTTATCTTGCCCATATATCTCCATAAACTCTACCTTTTACATTGTAACACTCTAGTTGGAGTGGCTTTAGGCCTTATGCAAGGTGAATATCATTATAAAAGTATATCTTAAATTTTCTCTTCGTCATTTTTATATTATGATTCTCTCTACATTTCCTCTCTCTCTCTTTTACTCTTCTTTCTCTATCACTTCAGTTATAACTTTCATATTTTCTCCTATTTTCTGACTCTTTCTTTTTTCTTTCTCTCGTTTTTTTCTCTTAATTGTCTTTCTCTTCTATATTCCTCTTTTATTTCTTTCTCATATGTTTTACGTTTATCTCTTTTATTTCTCGCTCTCTGTTTACTTTTATTCTCTTAATTTATTTCTTTTCCTTTCTCTCTCATATTTTCTTTTATTTTATCACTTTTACTTTTTTTCTCTCTCCATTTATCTCTGCATTCTGTTTTTCACCCTTTCTCACTCATATAATCTCTCTTAGTTTCTATATATTTTATTCTCTCTCTCTCTCTCGTTTGTATTATTTCTCTTATTTATCTTCTATATTCCTCTCTGTATATTTCTCATATATTTTTCTCTCTTATATTTCTCTCTCTCGCTATTTTCTCGCATTCACTTAAAGTATTTATCTTCCTGTCTCTCTCATATTTTCCCTTACTTTATCATTTTATTGTTTCTCACCATCTTTTCATTCTCTTTCCCTTTATTTCCCACTCATATATTTTCTCTTATTTTCTATATCACTTTTATTTTTTTCTCGCATTTCCTTTCTTTCTCATATTTTTCATTCATTTTCTCTCCTTTAAACACACACACACACACTCTTTCAGTCTCTCTCTCTCTTTCTCCCACTCCATCTCTCTCTCTCTCTCTCTCTCTCTCTCTCTCTCTCTCTCTGTTGTATTTTACGTTCATTTTCTTTCTCATTACTGAACTCAACACACATTTGCGTCTCTCTGGTTTTTTACAGCTTCATTAAATTTTCATTTTTCTCTCCAATTTTCTCGGCACTATTGAGAGAATATTTTCCAGTGTTAATCTGCCGACAGCAATCAATATCAGAATTAATTATGCGCTTATTGATTCACGACTCATGCAGAGTACCCTCCGTGTTTCATGCGCTAACGACATACAACACGTTTGGGTTTTCATCGTTGCAGTTAACGCGCCTTTTGGCGAGAGAGTAGAACAAAAAGCAAAGACAGACGTAATGCATGCAGTTATGTGCTGCCTTGAATTCTTGCTGGTGGAAACGAGTTGGCTAATGTAGATCGGCGATCTATGATATGCACCTGTGTTTTTATAACACGCGTGGCTAAGCAAGATTCGAAAATTATTTGATGGTTCAATACGTTTAACACGCACCAAAAACATATACGTCCGTACACACACACACACAGACACGCCTAAGTACAACAATATGGTCGCAGCTTAATGATGAATCACATTTATTGACATAATAAATATATCATTATTTCTCTTCCTTGTCATTGCACTTAATTTTCATCATATAAATTGAACATTGAAAATTTCAGATCATTATTCATTCGACAATTAGGCTTACGGCCATATCTCGTTGAAACACCAATTCTCGTACGATGGCCGAAGTTAAGCAACGTAGAGCCTGGTCAGTAGCTAGATGGGTGACCGATTCCTAATACCAGGTGGTGTAACCTTCGATGTGCTGGTGGTGTAAAGGATGACGGCTCGTAATTGGAAATCGGAGAGCCGAGTTCCAGTTCTAGTTTTTCCCGGTCTGGTTTGTTATATTCACTTACTTGGTAATTGTATAATACTTCCCCAGCTATGGGTTAATTAGTAAGACTTGTATCATTAAACGATTATTATCTCCCCAACAAAAAGATCTTACAATCTAAAAGTATTTTCTGACTTTAAATAACCCTGGTTTTTAATAAACACACAAAAGATAACAGAACAAATCAATCAATTACTTAATAATTACATGTGACTGACATATTGATGCACGCTTATATATAGAAATAAAAGTAATTATTGCTGAGCCTTCCACAGCATCACTAAAATTATTCGTATACGTACATGAATGCGCATACACATAATTTAGAATTTTAGAATCATCTATTATTTCTGAATTAATGTATTTATACAGTGTTTGAAGCAGTCGAAATAGGAAACCTGGACATCTATACATTCCTCTCATCGAGCTAAAAGTTAATTTATGCCTTTACGAGAAAACTCTAAAAGTTTCAAAACCAAAAAAAAAAATATTGATTGCAGTTTCGACATCTTCTTTACAACGGTTTAAAAAAGTAACTGAACCTCGTCAGTTAACGAGTGCAGGGCGCATTTTGCTTAACTGAATGTGATTTTCACCCAGTTTCTGGCGGTAATCTTCGGCAGTGAATCCCTGGTTAGCTTTCAGAAATCTATAATGGATTGTGCCAATGGCGGACCAGCGGAAAATCATTATAATCTTCCGTTGTAATTTCGGTCTTGAAAAGTCAAGTGGGTCATTCATTATAATCAAGACATTAAGACCAATGGATGACAATTATCATAAAGGATCCATTTCTCATCAAGTCCCGATTCGATCAAGAAATGGTTCATTCGAATGTCGCAGATGCAGTATTGAATGCATTACAAAACGTTTAATACTTTGACTTTTAGTCAGTTGATTAAGAATTCAATTATTAGGTAAATTCAACTTCACAATTCTTGAGATCATCTGATGAAATGCTGACACATTATATGATAAATTTCTCTGATACTTTGACATGATTTCTGTTCGATTATTGTTGATTGTCAGTTGCAGAGGGACGTCCTCTATCACCTTTAACTTCAAGGCTCGTGTCATCAGTGCGTAACTTCACAAACCAGCACCGTACTGTCCGATCAAAAGTGAAGGCTTTATTCCAGGCTCTGTTACTGTTGACAGTTTACGAAACCTTATGGCCAAGCTTGAACAAAAAATAAACGTATCTTTTATTTCATAATATGCCATATGAGTATTATAAAATGTTTTAAGTTAAATTCCGAAAAACATTGATATAAATTTGACAAAAAGGACACTTTGATAATTAGGAATGAGCATTACAATTTTGTATAACTATTGTAATCATATATTAGAATACAATTAAAATTTTTATCCTAAAATCGGACATTATATTCGTAATAGTATATATATATATATATATATATATATATATATATATATATATATATATATATATATATAAAAACACTAATATTCCATGGTTATAATTTATTCCATTGGAATCGTAAATAATTTTGGAATATTAGTGTTTAAGCCTTTTTATTATATCCTTATTCTGTCCTGGACATTGAGTTCTACCTGGATTCTATCCTCTTGGAATTTTTTATTCAAAATATATATGTATGTGTATGCATGTATGTATATATATATTTATATATTTTGCATATGTATGTGTATATTTACCACTTATCTAATATTATATATCTATTTATCTATCTATATATATATATATATATATATATATATATATATATATATATATATATATATATATATATATATATATATATAATACATATATAGGTGCCTGCACCTGAATCGACCTGACGGAAGAAACCAAGGTTATCTTCGGTGATATAAGTTGTTTTTGCTCTTTATTTTATTTACTTTACAATTTCTCCAATGTAGGCTTTCTGTACCTCTGGAATGTTCACCTAATCTCGCATCACGATGTTCTCATGCCAAGGTGCATATTTTATGCCAACTCTTTGTAGCCAGTGACAACGCGTTTCGAGTTCATTTTTTTTTTTAATTATAGTTACATTTCTTTTGCTTTCTAGTGTATACTCGTTTCTTTCCGGGTCACGATCAGGGTCCGAATTTATATTTTCCACAGAGCATTTCTTTTTCGTAAATTGCCCATATTTTACATAGATAAAGCCCTTCGTAGGGTGTGGGCTGGATTTGTGACTACAATTGTTTGCATTTCTTTAAGTCATTGGCTACCAGGGATTCCTTCAGTAAGTCTATTGGAAACTTTTCCAATCAATCCGAGGGCTCCAAATACAAATACAACTGGAATGGTTAATGTCCACATGTGCCACATTTTTGAGATTTCGATTTCAAGGTCATTGTGTTTTGATATCTTTTTGAAGATCTTCAAAGATACATTGCTGTCTGCAGGGACTGCCATGTCAATGAAAAGGCAGATTTTGTCTTTGCGGTCTGTAATCACAGTGTCAGGGTGATTAAGCCTGATTTGCTTTGATTGTTCTGATTATTATTATTATTAGTAGTAGTAGTAGTAATAGTAGTACTAGTAGTAGTATTGCAACATTTACAGAAGAACGTGATTTAAGAAAAGAAAAATAAAAGACATTGCTTAACAATCTTAAAAAATAGTTCGATAATACGTATGTCAGCCTCGTTCAGTTAATGGTTAAAGAAGCATAACTGTATAAAAAAATATTAAGAATAGAGTCGAACGTTGGTTCGCGAATTTAATTCGTTCCTAAAGGCTGTTCGTAACCCGAAATGTTCGCCGGCCGAAAATAATTTACCAGTAGGAATCAATATAGAGAAAACAGTCACAGTACAATAAAATTGGGAAAAAAAGTACGGCACAACACACGAGTGTATATAAGACATCTGTTAACTCAATTTGTTCGAGAACCGAAATTTTGTTCGATAACCGAAGCATTTTCATCTTGAATTTTCTGTTCGAAAACTGATTTGTTCGACATGTGAGACGTCCGAGAACCGAGGTTCCACTGTATAAGTATTTGTAGAAATGTCGCTTGTCTTGAGAAAAATGGTTGAATTTGGGTAATTAAACCGAGAAAGCGAATGAAATGCAGTTAGCGTGAACGGAAGGCAACCGAAAGTCGAGTCACATGATGGAGAGCGTGCGCATCTTAAGCGTTTCCGTCAGTTGATTAGTTAGCAAGCGTAATTAATCAAACAGTTTAAGATAAATCTTGTGAACCTCGCCTGTCATTCTGGTCATTCCCACCAGAGTAGGACATTTGTAATTTGCATATGTAATTATCTTCATAATAAGAACTATTATTATTATTATTATTATTACTATTTCTCTGTTGCTTTTCAGTTCCGATTCTTTATTCTAATCCCCCTCTGTCATTTACCTTTCTCCTCCTACTCCCTATTCCAGTCAGCTCCTCATTCTACTTTCTCTCTCTTTTTAATACTGACCAAATCCACATTCATTTTCTCATCGCCTTGTCGATCTTCTTCTTTATAAGGCAATTATTCGTCAATCCATTATCATGCAAATTCCATTTTCTATCATTAATTCATTCTTAAAGAAGTCGTTCTATATTTCTATCTGCCTTGCTTACTCTAATCCCGTTAATACTCACTTAATTCAACGGCAATTTCGTTTCCTGATCAAATGTTACCTGCTCTGCTTGGCCCACACTTCTATTATCGCCCGTCAACATCCATTACTTCAGCCTACATTTTCCATTGGGCTTCTGAATCACCCGTTTGTTGTCGTTCCTATTCCATTAATCTCAATAATCATTCTTTTCTCTCCTCTCCTCTCCTCATCCATTCAGTACTCTATCTATCTATCTATCTATCTATCTATCTATCTATCTATCTACTGATTTTCTAAGCGTAAGCTATCTAAGACCAAAACCATCCAGTGAGGATCGAACTCACTCTCCAGTCGTTTTATATATATATATATATATATATATATATATATATATATTAAATAAAAACAGACTACTTTAAGGTTCCATGTAATAAATTATTAGGTTGGTAAAATAATGACGTAATAATGTCGTTTTTGACGTATTTTACGTCAAAAACGACATTATTACGTCATTATTTTTGCACAACCTAATATTTCACCACAGCCCTTTTAAAGGACTGCGTATCACCAGACTTTACTTCTTACAAAGGTTGAAACAAAAAAATCGGATTACCTAGTTTTTCATAAACTTATATATATATATATATATATATATATATATATATATATATATATATATATAGAGAGAGAGAGAGAGAGAGAAGAGAGATACTCTTAACGTGTGCTATATTTTATATATGTTCATTTTTATTTTCAGATTACTTGAATATGTGTTGTCACTTGTGATGAAATGACTTCTTTTATATTGTATCTCTTTAACGAAGTGGGTGATACTGACTTTCGACAAAATACTGACCCTTGTAGCGCTAGGCAAATTTTCGCTATTTAACATGTATATTCGCTTAGTTATGCCATACATTCATACAAACTCGTTGCCCCCATCTGTAATGTGCTTGAAATATGCCTTGTCAGTATTAAAATTGCTAAGCCCTCCCTCTTCATCATGTAATTATAGTTAACTTCCTCGTTCACTCATTCGTCTTAATTTTCTGCATCTGTCTGTAGAACCATAATTTTCTTGCTTCGATTCTTTTCGTCATTTATGATTAAATTGTCCAGCATTTGCTACCAAATTTCACTTACCAACATTTTAAACACCCGCTTCATTCTAGTGACACTGTCGCCTTGCTTGGGTGTGAAACGATTAAAAAAAAAAATCTCCGAGCCCTTGTTCTGCCACCCATTTACCCAACTTCGTTACGTAGGTTATTCACCGTTTTTCTCTGTGCCACTTCCCGTCCGTATATTCTGGGAATGTCAAAACGTCCAGTATCCTCTCATTAATCCATTACCTACCATGAACTCCATTTGGGGATCGGTTAAAATTAAACTGACTACATGTTATTCCTTGTATTTACATTGAATTGCTTACATACATGGAATTTACAGAGGTATATTTTACAACACTTAGCCTTTAAATTTTTTTTATTAGCCGTACGAAGACACTTTCTGTCGTAATTTTACATTTCACGAGTAGAAAAATAAGGACTATTTTGAAAAGTATTGTTTTTTATTATTTCTAATCAATATTATTTTTTGATGTTTTATACACATATATATTTGATGTTCTAGTTGCTATAAAAACGACAATAGTAACTACTGAAATTAAACATAAGGAATAAATAAACTCCAAAGACACCTGTCTTTTAAAATAATTTGGCAGTTAATGTGTTAAGCGCCATGGAAATTTCGGTAAAATTGCAGATTAGGAACCCAAAACCAATTTAAAAAGAAGGTTCATTACTGGTGTAAAAACGCCTGACTATTTCAAAAACAGCATTAAAACATTTTCAGAAACGTACTAATTATCGACAGTCTTCTTTGGGTCATATTATTTGTGTCTTGGCTACAGCCGGTTCGACATTTGGTCTTTCCTCTTAAGGGGAAATTGCAGATTAAGACCCAGAAACCAATACTACGCGGAAGTTTATCCATTTAATGGATAATTAAATAAAAAAAAACAAAAACATCCGAGCGCTTTCACATGCTCTATAGCCCCTTCGCCCCCACCCCCTCTGGATAGTCTCGGGGCGATAGTCTTGAGGCGATAATAATAAAGTTGTCTTCCTCTCTTTCTTCTCTCGGCCGTCTTCTCCCTGCCGGGTGTCAAAATGTTTTTGGATTTCAAACTAAAATTAGAACTTCTACAAAAGAGATTTTTACTTCGTACTTTATTAAACAGGTCGACGTGTACTTTTTTTTAATTAGTCAGTGGGTCCGCTCTATTAGCCCCACTGGGGAGCAAGTTCCCTGAGACATGAAATAATCAGATCTGATTTCTTCGACGTGTAAAAACTTACTCTTTCTAAGTGTAACATCCCCACGTTCGACTAAGCCAATCAAAATCGAGATCCTTATTTTGTCTATAAACTGACCACAAAGTAAGCCATAGAAAGTCTGAGCCAAATACACTGCCACTAAAAATAATAGTCTGAAACTATTATTTAACACTCCTGACTGCTATACCCGGGACACAAATAAGATTATCAATACCCTCACAAAAAGTGGATTTTCAGCAATTTTTATTGCTATTTTCGTAATAATCATGCTTTTTTTCATAAAAACTTAAAAACAAAAACACTTAAAGTCAAAATTTTGATGTTACTATTAAGAGGCAAGACAAAATGGCGGCCGTGCTGTAGCTGAGACACAAATAACATCCAACTAAGATTGTCGATATCTCCTAAATGATAGCCTTCCACAAATTTTTAATGCTGTTTTTGGAATATTCAAGTTTGTTTTATTTTTACACGAGAAATGATGCTTCGTTTGTAAATTTCTGGGTCCTAATCGGGAATTTTACCGAAATTTCATCTGTTTCTTCTTTGTGTAAATTAAAAGAGAGATTTTTTTGTTTCCATTTTCTCTGAAACTTCATCGTTGCTCCCATTTTCACGCCATGGGATTCTCAGCATCCTTATGTAGAACCACATTTCTATCAAATCATATTTCTCCTTCATCTGTGCGGAAACAGTCCAGCATTCACTGTCATATAGGGGAGGATTGATATTAAGTAACAGTTCAGTGTTCTTTTCTTTATTTCTAACGATATTTATTTGTTTTTTAATATTTTACTTATCTTTAGAAGGCATCTTTCACTATCAGGCTGTGTCTAAAAATGCCCCTATTGCATTGATTAGCTCATGGAATCCATCTTTAATTTTGCTTTGCTTAGCTTTTGGAAGGCATCTTTCGCTATTCAAATGAAGCGTCGGATTTCAGTGTTGCATTTTCCGTCCTCTGTTAAAACCCTTTCCCATATATTTAAATTTTTGTGCTTGCTTGTTTTTGGTATCCCAAATTTGTAATTTACATGTTGGGATCTACCTTTTGCTGACAACCATACATACTGTCTTCTTGCAATTGATGTTTATTTATTTTTTCTCGCCTTTCTTCAATACATTCTCGATGAGTTCTTGCAGTTTCCTTTCTGTGTCTGCTATCAACGTTATGTGACATGCATATCTTATGTTGTTAGAATTGTGGCCACCCTTAATGAAACCTGGTGGTGTTAAATAATAATTTAGCAGACGATTATTTTTGCTCTGACTTCCCCATTTTGACATTTGTGATCAGATGCAGGAAAACAATTAAAGTCGATTGTGATTGTGTAGAAGCAGCGTGAGAAAGGTTTTGGTTTGGTTTGGCTTATTTGTTTTACGGCGTATCAACCATAATAGGTTATTTAATGCTGACAAAATTTTTATTGCTGGTATTATTTTGTTTAGTAAAAAATCTGTTTTTTTGGCAATTTTTCCTTCTAAAAAGTATTGCTGTTAATATTTTTTTTTTCAAAAATATATTGCTGGTAATAATTTGTTTTTTTTTTCAAAATCTATTGCTGGTAATATTTTTCCTTTAAAATATACTGCTGGTAATATTTTTTCTTCAAAGATTTATTACTGGAAATATTTTTTTACAAAGTATTTATTTATTTCTGTTATTAAAACCTATTTTTACACTTTCATAGTGGTTTTACCCCAGTTTAAGAGGTAACTATTTGCGCATAGCGGGGGCCCTAACAGGTACTACCACCGCGGATCCGGACGGACCTGGGAACACCAGCAATTAAGAGGTGGTTCCACGCTCCTCAAAATCTCCTGATCAGAGACGTTGCTGTTGGACGTAGTTTATCGTCTTACTCGGGACGTGGATGTAGTTTATCGTCATACCCAGGACGGGTGTGAGAAATGGATTTCGGAGATTTGGGATATACACATTTAGATTTTACCCGGGAATTCCTGAAGTTCAAACATTTTAAAATAGACCTCTCGTTGCACGATGATTAGGACTCTGTTATAGAATGACATGGTCGAGATTTCTAAAGACATTCTCAATTATTCATTATTTAGAACTTCTCTTGATTAGTCCACGTTTCTGTTTTATATAATATATTTGCATGTGTTACATCAGGTGTCTTGTTGGTTACTACTGGGCACTAATTGGCTTTTATCACTTCAGATTTTCGTATACCTTATTTATCATTTCAATTTTTGGGACTTTGTAAACGTTGCTAGCAGTGCTTCTCTTCCGAATATCGGTTATTGGCTCTAATTGGCTGAACAAAATTAGTCCATATTCTTTTACGAATTTCGCTTTTCATGCAGTCTTTCTCTAGTGCACGCTATTTTGTTTTAGTTGTTTTAATAATTGTGAAACAATAACTGAAACTTGATTCCACTTAAACGTTAAATTTGAATGACTAAATCTCTTGGGATGCATGTTGATTTTGAGCCCTAGAAAGATAAGATTTTATGTGAATTTTTATAAACAACTTGGGATTTGGACCAGTAGAATTTTATTACTCAAGTTAATGATTGTTTAAATGATTCCTTAATTCCTTTTTTACATTTGGTCTAATAAATCGAAATTAAAAACATTTTAATATTCCAAAATAGAGTAGCTGAATTCGTCGAATTTTTTAATACATTATAAGATAAATATTTTGGTAAAGCTTTCCGTATAGATTTATCTTTTTCATTTTTCATATTGTCTTTGATTTTCTTTTTTTTTATTTGCTTAAGTCACAATGACGCCATTGTGGGATCTACTCAAAATTCTATCTAATTTGAGTAAAAATGCTTATAATCGAGTTATGAAAAAAATAATTGCGTAGTATCGCATCATTTGATTTTCCAAGAGAAAACCACAGATAAAAACCGGACATCTTCTGTGCATATACACGTGCTTTTATCAAAGCGATGTTTCTCTATTATTATTATTATTATT